AATATTAAGCAGTCCTATCATGGTGGGACACCCTGTTAAATAAATCATATGATAAATTGCCAGAACTGTGAAATCTCTTCCTGGGAAACAGTTTCCTCTTCCAGCCAGCATCCTTTTCCTTTCCTCGGTGTGATTATCTTAGTATTTGGTACACAATATCTCTTTAGAATATCTTGCCCTACCGTGGGAACTTGACCGGCACAATCAACTAAAGAGGGCTCATAGGGGCTCACAGAGACTGAGCTGACAATCAGGAAGCCTGCATGGGTCTGACCTAGGTCCTCTGCATGTAGGTTATGGTTTCTGCTTGTGTAGCTTGGTGGTCTTGTGAGACTCCTAACAGTGTGTGTAGGTAGGTGGGTGGGTGGGGAATCTCTCACTCTTTTGCCTGCCCCTTGAAACCTTTTTCCTCCTGTGGGTTGCCTTGCCCAACTTTGATAAGAGGGTTTGTGCCTGGCTTGTTGTAATTTATGATGCTGTGTTCAGTTGATGTCCCTGAGAAGCCTGTGTTCGACCCCCTCCCTTCTTTCCTTTCTCCCTCCCTTCCTCCCTTTCTTTAAAGGGAAAAGGAGGAGTGGATCTAGAGGAGAGGAAAGGAGGGGGTGGGGAATGGAGGAGGCAAAACTGTTGTCAAGATGTAATGTATATAAAGAATTAACAAGACAAAACAAGGGGGAAAAAAAAGAATGTCTTGTATGCTACCAGGTGATTTTACTGTGGCTTCTGCATCTCTCAGTAACAATATTGGTAGAAGCATTCTGTTTCTTTCCCTGCTGTGGTTAGAACATTCTAGATGGCATTCATTGGGATGCCTGCTCTGCCTGTGATTCCGAATCTGCTTTTCATGCTCCCAAAGGAGCCCTGGAGCCTCCTCAGCTACCAGCTTGTTGACTTCAGGTTTGCTTATGAAAATAAAAGCAGCAAGAACAGTTGGTGAGGTTTCTGCTCACACATGGTGCAGGAAGTTTCCAGAGCCAGTCCCACACTAGTGCTTGGGCAGCAGGTAATAATAGGTGGGGAGCATTCTGCGGTTGGCTACAAGTTTGCTTAAAATAAGCACTTTGGCCCAGGTAACCTTTAGGAAGGCAAGCCCGCTGTCGGGAATGGTCAGGTAGCATGCTCTGAAGGTCTTGAATGTGTTCACCTGCCTCAGAAGGCTGGTGGAGAAGCACTAGCCCCAACCCCTTCTCCCCGAGTCTCCCTGATGCCAGCAGCCTCTACTGTGGTCAGGGTAAGCTGTGCTTTATGTTCAACTTCAGCCACTTCTCCTTCAGGTGCCTACAATTAATATTACAAAAATCAGACACCTTTCATCACCAGGGCAACCACACTTACCACGTGACTGTCAGGGAAGAAAAACCACAAATAATCCTCTCAACCTCTTGACAAATATGCAAAGTATTCCAGGCAGGCCCTGCCCTAGGACAGTGAGCTGGAAAGATAGGAGGCTTGCTGGGAGAATCAAGTTAGACCCCACATCTTCCAGCTATGGGTGTCCCCCAGCCCCTAACTGCTTCACATTTGTGGATCTAAAACTGTGACCGATTTCTCTCTGCCAGTCCTGGCTGGCATCTCGCATCATTTTTCTGGGTCTTGGCTGTGTTTGTTGATGCAGCTCAAGTCCTTTCGGGCAGTCCTGGGTATTGGATCTTAGGCGGTCACCTTACAGGTGGCAAATCAGGTTGGAGTTTTCCCCTCTCTCCTTTGATTTTAGGAATTTAAGTTGAAAGTATATTACGGACTGGGCATTGCAGTAGATCAGTTGCCTACCACACATGAGGCCTTGCATTTGTTCCCTAGCACCTCAACACACACACACACACACACACACACACACACACACACACACACACACACACGGAAAAGTGTCTTAAACCCCCCTCAGAAAGAATTTGAAAATGAATCAGGAGAATCAGCTTAAAGTGAGCCTCAGGAAGAGGAACTCAGAATCCTTGCATGCTCTGCAACAGCACTGGAATCAGAGCAATTTGTACGCGTCATGTCCCTCACCTGTAAAGTGAATGCATCCTCCACTCCGTGACCTCCTATATGGCTCAAGTGCAGCTCAAGTGCACACGATGCAGGGGGTGCTGCAAGTTCCATTTGAGGGTTAGGGTTCAACTTTCCTGTGTACAGAGTGAGCCAAAGAGCAACAGGGAGGTTGACCTTTGCTGAGCTGCAGCTGGAGGTGAGAGAGGAAGTTGTGATCATTTGGACAGAACCATCATTTCCTTAAAGTCCAGGCCCTGGGTTTTTAAGTAGGTCACTGAAAAAAAAAAAAAAAAAAAAAAAAAAAAAGAGGAGAAAGTTAGTTCTTCATTTATGAGATGGCCTGTGGGTGGCTCTCTGGAGGTTAAGTATTTGGAATTGGACCACAATGCACCTGCAATGAATTGGGCTCCCAGCTCACCAGAATCAGGTTTCCAGATGGGAAACGAATGCCAAGGAGACCCCTGTTTCTGAAGTTGTGGTCTGCGAAGGTCTGGTACCCCATCGTTTGCCATATCTTGACATAGCTTGCAAAGGGCTGTGTAAAACACTTGAATGGTGTTTGAAATATTCTTTCCTGATAGCTAAGTCAAATGTAAATGTTTCCTGGTCAGGTTTCGTTATTTCTAATTATGACAAAATGCAGAATTTTGCATTTTATTTCTTAATGAACCAGGGGATTTAACCCAAGGCATTTCATAATGCTCGGCAAGTGTTCCACCATTGACCCACATTCCCAGACTAAAATTTGCCATTCTAACCACTTCAAGTGTACAGTTGTGTATCCGTTCACATTGTGTAACTGGTGCCACCATCTGTCTCCAGAATCTTTTCATTTTTTTTCCAGCTTAAACTACAGTTTAATACTCTTCAGGGATTACTTCCCTGTTCTGCTCATTCCCCTGGTCCCCTCAGCCACCTTTCCACTTTCTACCTCAGTGTATTGGACAGCTCTGGGTACCTCATGTAAGTGGAATCATAATAAAATATTTGTCATTAGTAGCTTTTTTTTTAAATCCTCATTTTCTTTTTGAAACTGAATTTTGTATGTTCCCTTTTTCCTACCAGGCTTTATTACTTTCTATAACCTTAAAATTAAAAAAATATATATATGTTTATTGGTGTTTCTCCTGAATGTATGTCTGTGCACCATACACATGCAATTCCTGTGGAGACAGAAGAGGGTGTTGGATCTCCTGGAACTGGAGTTACAGATAGTCGTGAGTTACCATGTGGGTTGCTAGGAATTGAACCAGGATCTTCTGGAAGGGCAGCCAGTGCTTTTAACTGTTGAGCCATCTGAAATTTATGTATAGATTTGTACTGTAATTTAACTGTCCTTGCTGAAGGAAAATATGACATTGGAAGTAATTTGATAGAATTCTTTATTTTGAAGTGGGGTCTTTTTTTTTCTGAGTGGGATTTGAGTGCTATTCTGTCTTTTTCTTATTGAAAATAATTTTCATATAATATATTCTGATCAAGGTTTCCCTCCCTTCAACTTCTCCCAGATCTTTCCACCCACCCAACTCCATGCCTTTTTTTTTCTTTATAAGACAAGCAAGCAAATAAAACAAGCATACCAGAAATTTTTTTTTTTGTTTCCTTTTTTTAAAATTGTTGTTCAAGACAGGGTTTCTCTTTGTAAACCAGGCTGTCTTCGAACTCAGAGATCCACCTGCCTTTGCCTCCCAAATGCTGGGATTAAAGACTCGCATCACCACCGTCTGGCTTACCATACCAGAATTTTTAAAAAGAAAAGGAAAAGAAACACAGAAAGCAAAACCTATAAAAACACAAAGTCTGAAATCATAATATACAAGCAAAAGATCAATAAGGTTAGAAATGCCAGAACAAAGCAATAAGAGACAAAGAATCTACAGATATATTATTGGATTCATTTGATTTGGCTATCTACTGCTGGGCGTGGAGCCTGCTCTTTGTGGTTTGTATACCCAGGGAGACTCTTGCAGAAAATTAATTTTAATTTGCCAGTGGTTGTCAATTGGAGACAGCCTTTGGGTTAGGGATGGGGGCACGTGTCCACTTCTCTGGTTCAGCCCTGGGAGCCATCTGGCTTGAGCCTGTGCATGCCCTGTGCATGCTGCCACAGTCTCTGTGGGTCATGTATGCACCAGTCCTGTTGTGTCTACAAGGTTTTCTTGTGTCCTCCATTCTCTCTGGCTCTCACAATCTTTCCGCTTCCTCTTCCACAGAATTCCCTGAGCCCTGGGGAGAGGGATTTGATAGCCATATCCCACTTAAGACTCAATGTTCCAGAGTCTCTCACTCTGCATATAGTTCAGAGTGAGGTCTCTGTTAGTTCCTGTCTTTTTTATTTTCTAACATAGGGTCTCATTATGTAGCCATGGCTGTCCCGGAATTAGATATGTAAATAGGGCTAGCCTCAAACTCACAGAAATCTGCCTTCCTTTGCTTCCCAGCTTCTGGGATTAAAGGCATGTGCCACCATACCCGACTAAGGTAGGGTCTTGTATTTTCTAAACCGGCCTTGAAGTCGTATACCACTCCCACTCCCCCAATATCTGGGACTTTAGGCCTGCATCGTTGTGCCAAGTTCTTTATTTTTAGAAATAAGTCATTATTGGATCATTATTCTAGATGGCTATAAGGGATGAGGGTGAAATGCTGTTGGTAGAGTGCTTGAGTAGTATACTTAAAAACCCAAGTAAGATGCATCAGATTACCCTTGTCTAGCATGTAGACCAAAAAAACTCTCAAAAATAAAAGTCAGGGCTAAGGCTATACCTTGAGGGCAGAATACTTGTCTGTTCTGCTGGACACACTTGTTTGATCCCTTGCACTAAATGAATGGATAAATAAAAGCAGAGTTCTGTATTGTTCCCCACCCGATTACTCCTCGGTGAGACAGTGTGAAAGAACATTTGTATGAGAGCTGAGAGCAGCAGAGAGGAATTCACTGATGGCGTCAGGATCCCCCTTGGAGCTGTTCCTATCCAAAGTTGACCTCTCATCTTTCCCTCCTCTAGATGGTACACCCTGAAGTCCAAACCAGGAAAGAAGGACAAAGAGCGAGGAGAGATTGAGGTGGATATCCAGTTTATGAGAAACAACATGACCGCCAGCATGTTTGACCTCTCCATGAAAGATAAGTCTCGGAATCCATTTGGAAAACTGAAAGACAAGATCAAAGGGAAGAGTAAGGATAGCGCATCGGACACCGCTTCTGCCATCGTCCCCAGCACAACACCCTCAGTTGACAGCGATGAGGAGTCTTTCTCAAAAGACAAGAAAAAGAAATCTAAGATCAAGACTCTGTTTTCCAAGTCGAATTTGCAAAAGACGCCGCTCTCCCAGTCCATGTCTGTCCTGCCTACTTCCAAGCTAGACAAAGTGCTGCTTCATCCCGGCGACTTGCGGTCCCGGTGGGACGACGATGACAATGAGGATGAGTCCTCCTCCGCCTCAGATGGTGAGTTACTGTCTTTGCTCACTCATCTGCTTCCCCAGTCTTGCTCTGAGAACGAAGAGGAGGGTCTTCAGGTTTTAGTTACCACAGCAATGATGGTGATGACATTCACTAAGGCTTTGTTTCTCAAGACAATACAAAGTCTTCTCCAAGGGTTTGGAGCTCACAAAATAAGTGGATTTGAGGGAGTTTCGCTGCTGTTTGTTTTCTCACAGTCCTGGGATCTACGCCCAGCACCTGTTGTATATGAAAGAATAAAACTATAGAACCGTGTTGTAATAGGACCCTATTAGATGTCTGACACTTCATTAATTCTTCAGATGTCAGCTGAGCTTCTAGCATGTACTTAACTCCCATGTGGTTTATCTCTGGTGGAAGCTAAGTAGTCCAGTCTCCTTGACTCGAATTGTGTATTTTGAACTTCAGCTTCAATTACTGAATCCCTTTTAGTAGCCAGATTTTGTTAGTCTATTGAGAACGTAGCCTTTTCCACTGGTTTAACACAGAATTTCTTAACTTCCACATCACTGACTGTTTGGGTTGATAATTCTTGTGGGGAACTGTCTTATGCATTGGAGGATGCTTAGGCAACACTAGCACCTTCCTATCAGTTACCAAGATTGAAGATGTGTGCGGGTACTGATAGAGTGACAGGTGCCCCTGCCCATTGCAAGTACTTATTATTACCACGCCCCCTCCCTCCCCCTGCGCCTCCTCTCTTCCTGTCTTTGCAGTACTGAGGATGAAAATGATGGCATCATACATGCTAATCAAGAACTTCATCACTGAGCTTTGCCTCAAGTCCCTCACTCATGTAATTTCTCTTTTTGTTTGTTTGTTTTTGTTCCTAGAGATTGAACCCCAGTGCCCGGAGCGGGAAAGATAAATGCTTTAACTCTGATCTGTGTCTTCAGCTTTATTTTTCATTTAGTGTATCTGAAGGTCAGAGGCTAGCTTGTGGGGATGGGTTCTCTTTTGACCATGTGTGTCCTGGGGATTTAACTCAGGTCATTAGCTTTTCAGTAAATACCTTCACTCCCTGAACCATCTCTCCAGAACTTACCTCTTATGTTGTTTATTCTCTTCCCAGTCATGTCCCACAAGAGAACACCCAGTGCAGACCATACACAACTGAACCAGACCAAGAAAGAAGGGCTCTCCTTCCTCGGGGGCCTCCGGTCCAAGAATGACTCCCTTTCCAGATCTAACTTGTGCATTAACGGGAACCATGTTTACATGGAGCAGCCAGAGGCCAAGAGTGAGAACAAGGACAGCAGCCCTTCGAATTCCCCGTCCCCACAGGGCTTCCGGAAGAAGCATTTGTTCTCCTCCACTGAAAACCTGGCTGCCAGATCTCCTAAGGAACCAGGGGGAGGAGGCGTGGCCTCTGACAGGCGACTGTCGGACTCCTCCAGCAAGGATTCTGTGAAGTCTATGTCTTTGCCATCCTACCGACCTCTGACCACTGGGGACAGCAGAGAGGGCGTGTCCCCAGCAAACGTGGAGGCTACGAAAGAGTCAAAAGAGAGCAAGAAGCAGGAGAACAAAAAGTCCTCTTTGCTTTCTCTGGTGACGGGAAAGAAGGATGTGGCGAAAGGCAGTGAAAGTGAACCTCTTCCCACCGTCTCAGAGAAAGAGAAGGAAAGGCAAGGCACCAGCACAGATGCCCAGCAGAGGGAGGAAGACCTTGGACGAAGGCCTGAGAGAGATGTTATACCTGTTGCCTCCCAGTGGGGCAACTCCCTAAATCCCTTTGAAGATGTGCAGCTCTCAAGCCCAGAAGCCTGCCTGGATTCTAAGTCTGAACCGAAGCCACCAGTTCCTGCTCCAAGGGCTCCCCAGACCAAGGCTGTGAAACCTAGGTAAGTCCTAGGTTTTTACATGTGGGACCTTTCCCTGCCACTACCTGGTATTTTTTTTAGCAAACCTGGTCAGTTTCAGGATGTTTGTGCAAAGGTCTGCTAGTCTTAAGTCATTTGAACCTGTCGCCCCTGTGGCCTGGCCTGCCCAGTGCAGAGGGCAGAGGTGTTTCCCAGCCTAAAGCCACAGCTTAGCCATGCGTGGGTGGGGGTTGTTTTTCTCAGTGAGCTAAACCAGACTCCAGTGAAAGGAGACAATCTGTGGTGATTCTGAGCATATGACCTGGTTCTATTGGTTACACGGGCAGAACCCATGTCTGAGTTTTCAGTGTGCTGCCCAGTGGAGATGGCTGCCTCTCCTGGCACTTGGCATCAGTTTGCTGGTGTGAGAGACCCTTGGTCTACTGTTTAGTGTACCTGTGACCATTCTATGTTTCCTCTGTCTGATCATGAGAACCTGCCTCAACCTGAAGGAGCTGCTTTTCTGAGTGACTTTCACATTGACATTTCTCTGGTATGTGGGTGGAGAGACAAACTTTTGGAGATTGTGCACACAGGTTTTTTTTTGTTTTGTTTTGTTTTGTTTCTCTTCAAAATCTGTATTTGTTGCCTTATGTGAAGCTTTTTTATCTTCCATTCTGAACTTTTTAGATGCTTTTTGCAGTATCAGTCAGTACTCAGGACTCTGAGTGTATCAAAAAGGAACTATAGGCTGTCTGTTGCTCCCACTGAATCTTTCCATTTGCAATGCAACAAATATGTGACAGGCAGGTGTGCTTGGTGCTGAACAGTGTGTCCTTCTGTGTCTATGGGGACAGCATGTGTTAGTTGTGCAGTTTTTACTTAGCATGTATGAGGCTGTGAGTCCCCAGCACTGAAGAAAAACAAAACGATCCATTTGTATGTCCCCTTGACTGTGTAGATCCTGCCCCAAGTATAAAAAACCTTTCTCTCTTTGATGATGATTTTTATGTTTCTTGTAATGCATCTGCAACTGACCTGCAGATTTTATTTTGTCCTTTTTGCAGACTGGAAGTACCTCCAAAGGCCCAAACCAAAGCCAGGCTTCCTTCCCCCGACTCTGCTCTCTTTCCTACTCTTCCTTCTAGCTCTGCTCAGGCAGCTGTCTTTTCTGACATGAGGGGTGACTCAGAGACACAATCCTCTGAAAATCCTTCTGCTTCCTCCTCTTTCTCCTCCCCTCTGGCAGCTCCTATCTCCACATCCACTCCAATTGAACACTGGCCCCCCACAGGCAAGGGGGAGGCAGATCCTGAAGAACTGCCTTTGCTCCTCAGAGTGGTCTCTCAAAGGGAGAGCTTAACACCAAGTCCTCCGAACACTGGTTCTTCTGCCTCGGGTTCACCTTACAAACAACTTATCATCCCAGTGCCGAAAGGGGGTGACACCAGGGAGACAGGCACAGGGAAGGAAGCTGGCAGTGATGAGTCAGGAAAGAGCCCAATGGAGCAGCCTGAAGAACTTTTGACAGTTCCTTTCCCAGAGCAACACCATGTCCCCTCACCTGAAGAGGCTCAGGACGTACCCTCTGAGCTTTCCCTCATCGGTGGCAGAATTACAAACCCCACTGAGAAGTCCCCCATAGGAGGAGACACAGACTCTGGGCATCTGCCTAGGTGTTTTGTGGAGAATGATCGCAATGGTGGAATGACTTCTGTAGTTCAACAGGAAGACACAGGCTCCCCATTTGACGTCATAGCTCAGAAACACGAAGAGATGCATGGGAATGCCAGCGGAGGTCAGAAGAGAGTGAAGAAGCGTGTGTCCTTTTCTGAGCAGCTCTTTGTGGAAGAAGGAACAGAAAAGCCCACTGGGCTTGAGGAAGAGGACGAAATTCATCCACAGCAGCTGACACAAGAAGGGCCTGTTGCTTTAAGTGTGCCAGATGAAGAGTCTCCTCAGCGGCCCCACACAGAAGGCACGGGAGAGGATCCTGTGACCTCAGCAGCTCAGTCCATCATTCCTTCTGAAAGCGACAGCTTCTCAGAAGACCTCACAAGTGAAGCCAGCCCAGGAAGAGGTAGTGGTCAACTCTGGAGGGTTGAGGAGAATGATGGCCTCATGATTCAATATCAGAGCAAGGCCAGTGATCATGAGGGCCTGCTGTCTGACCCCCTAAGTGACCTTCCTTCTGCCTCTGATGTGAAATCTCCTGTCATGGCTGATCTGAACTTTTCTCTTCCTTCTATTCCTGAAGTGGCATCAGATGATGAAAGAGTAGATGAGGCTGGAGATGGAGGAAAGGCAGCAAAGCTGGTTGATCCAGAAGTGGGAGTTTCACCCGTGGATGTGTCACCTTCCAGTCTGGAGAAGACAGAGGGGCCGAGTGGCAGGGCACATGGGTCAGTGCTCATGGAGGATCTCCATGACTTCAGGTCAGACGCTCTCAAAGTGGCTCCTTCTGAGCAGACAGCAGCATTAGGAATTCCTAAGTCACACCTTGGCAAGAGCTCAAGAGTGAATAAACAGTTACCAGGCCCTGGTGCTGAGGAAGAGGAACTGAAGGGAAGTGGGAGGCCAGGCTCGCCTCTCCACACGTCCCAGGACTCCCCCGTGCCCAGCCCCTCACCCTCTGCGACCTTTCCTGCTGCACACTCTTTGCCTAGCTCTCCATATTCCGACCATCACACCAGTGTAGCAGAATCTCAAAAAAAAGCAACAGAAGCCTCAGCTGCTAAAGTTGAAAATTTTGGCAAGAAGAAGCCACTTCTACAAGCCTGGGTCACACCCTCAGAGATACATCCAGTCTCAGCTCAGCCAAATGCTGGAGTTGGGGCAGCCAAGCACAGGTGAGAGATGATGGGGGTGCTTGCCTTTGTACGTGGGGAAGATGCCCTCTCTTTGCTTTCACCTGCAGACCAATGCCTTCCAACTGAATGGATGTCCCCATGTCACCATTGGCCTGCTTCGCTGGCAAAGCTGGTCAGGAACTCAAGATCCAGCCGTGTCTGTAGCAAGGACATAGTAGTCTTCAAAGATAGCTTAGGGATGCTTCTACAGTGTGACAAAGCTCTGTAGCTGTGGAAGTGTAGGACATTTGTGTCTCCAGGGTCTCAGAAGCTGGCTGAGACCAGTGACAGAACAAAGCAATACTGAAAACTTCCTCTGAGAACTGCTCCAAGAGCAGCTCGCATGATGTGCACTGTCCCTCGATATAGAAACCGGAAAGTTCTGCAGGGCCCTCAGTGGAGTCCTAGTCTGAGGCTACGCCCACCCACACAGATGAGCAGCTTTCTTTCTTCCTTTCTTCTTTATTGTTAACATTATTTATTTATTTTAATTAATTGAAGACTTTTTTTTTTTTGCAGTGCTGGGGATAGAACCTGAGGCCTTGTGCATCGTGGGCAAGTACTATGTCACAGAGCTATGTCCCATCCTGAGACACTGTCTGTCTGTTCTTGTGTCCTTAGCGGATTGAGGGACTTAGCATCTGTTGGGATCCCCACTCCCCAACCCCCCCCCCCAAGCCAGGGATGAGCTTTGCTGGTTGTGTGTGTGGCTCTCTAATCTGTTTTACTTTGAATTCCACAGGAGCTAAGGCATAAGCTGGATGTTGGGCCAGAGATGATCTCTCCCCGTTGCTTGACTTGCCAGCAGCCATCTTTGAGACAGTAGTTCTCAACTTTGTGGCTACTCTAAGTTTAAAGATCGGTTTCTTGTCTTTCCAGGCTTCATCCTGTGAAGCCGATGAACACAATAGCCACCAAGATTGCAAATCCTAGCTTGGGAACTGCCATCATCAGTGAGAACCTGATCAATGAAGCCATTATAAAGGTGAGTGTTCTGAGGATTTGGCGTATTTGTTAGGATCTGCAGAGCTTGCTGGTTCGGAGTCACTGTGACAGCTGGCCTCGGTCATTACAGGGAGCTAATGGGAGGAGGACTTGAGCTCATTTAGTTTGAAGACCAACCTGGGCAACATAGCAAGACACTATCTCAGAATAAACAACAGCGAAAGTTAAAGACCTTGGGCAAGTCTGGGAATTACTTATGCAGACCTCTGATGTGTCTGGAGTCTGGATAACCTCTGAGGGCCCCCAGACTTTCCGTTAAATGGATCATTACATTTCCTTGTAATTATTTATTTCTCACTAAAATCTTTCTTGTCTCTAGCAACATGATTATCACTGGCACTGTTTGTTGACTATGGTCGTACTTTTTTGCTTATTTATTTTGTTTTGTTTTTCTTAAAGGCAAGGTTTCTGTAGCCCAGGCTGCCCTAAACTCATGGCAATCTTCACTCAGCCTCCTGAGTGCTGGGTTTACAGGCAGATGCCACCACCTTGTTCTTCCTGCGGTTTTCTTTAAAGAAAACACTGCCCCCCCCTTTTCATTTTTTGTTTGTTTGTTTCTTCGAGACAGGGTTTCTCTGTGTAACCTTAGCTATGCTAGAACTCACTCTATAGACCAAGCTATTTTGAAATCCCAGAGACCCATCTGCTGCTGCCTCCTGGGTGCTGGCATTAAAGGCGTGCTCACCACCACTGCCCAGCTTCTTTTCTGTCTTTAGGCAAGAGTATAAAATGTGTGACACAGATGTACTGGGTTTTATCCCTGTATTTCAACATAGTTTCCAACATTTAAAAAGTTGCAGAAATAGTACAAAGAACTCCTGTAGACCATCGTCTGGATTGGCCAGTCGCTCACATCTGACCCCGTTTGCCCCATCTCCTCCCATTCCTTCCTCCCCCTCCTGCTCTTTCTCTGTATACCACCGCATGCTTGGTTTTCGTTTGGTAAAAATCTGAACCATGGAAAAAGTAAGTTGTATGCATCATGTCCTTTTTTATTTCTAATTTTTTTGAGTATTATATGTGCATCTTTAGGTGTTTGTATGGGTGTGTGCACATGTGTATAGAAGCCAGAAGTTTAAGTCCAATGAAGTTGAAGTCCGCTGTTTTTCTCTATAACTTTTCACCTTTTTTTTTCTTTTAAATTATTTTTTTTTTTCATATACTCTGATCATAGTTTCCCTTCCCTCATCTCCTCCAAGGTCTTCCCTACCCATTCAAATCATGTCTTCTCTCATCTATCTATCTATCTATCTATCTATCTATCTATCTATCTATGAAACATTCAGGCAACCAGAATAAAAAGAAAAACACCACAGAGAGAAGCAAGATATACAAAATTGAACCTATAAAAACACTTGGAAACAATATGCAAGCAAAAGTTCAGTAAGGTAAAAAAAAAAAATCCCCAAACAAAGCAACATAAGACCAAAAAAAAAAAAAAAAAAAAAAATCTACAAAAATACCACTGAGTTCTTTTTGTGTTGGTTATCTACTCCTGGGCATGGGGCTTGCCTTTAAGTGTGGTTTGTATTCTCAGTGAGACGCCCTTGCAGAAACCCATTTTTCCTTTGTAAGTGGTTATCAATTGGAGATAGCTATTGATTAGGGATGGGGACTTGTGAATCCACTTTTCCATCTCAGCACTGGGAGCCATGTGCCTCGAACCTGACAGGCCCTGTGCATGCTGCCACAGTCCCTGAGTTCATTGTGTGTATCAGTCCTGTTTTGGCTAGTTATTTTTAGTTCTTTAATATTTTACATATTAACTGTCTGTTGGATGTGTAACTTTAAAGATCTTTCCCCATCTTGTTGGAATGGTGATTTCCTTTGTCATGCAGAAGCTTTTCAGTTTCATGAGGTCCCACTTATTTATTGTTGTTCTTGGTCCCTGTGCCAGTGAATTCAAGACTATTCCCCACTTTCTCTTTTTTTCAGATTCAGGGTATCTGGCTTTATGTTCTTGATTCATCTGTAGCTGAGTTTTGTGCAAGGTGATGATAAGTATGAATTTATAGTCTTCTACGTGCAGACATCCAGTGTGACCAGCACCATTTGTTGAAGATGCTGGGTTTTGGTTTTTGTTTGTTTGTTTTCTGTTGTGTATTTCTGGCTTCTTTGTCAAAAATTAGTTTAGGTATGTAGTTATTCATTAGGTTTAGGTCTTGAATTTGATTCCATTGATGAATATTTCTGTTTTTATGCCAGTACCATGCTGTTTCTATATTGAAGCTCTATAGTACAGTTTCAGGTGAAGGCTGGTGAAGCCTCCAGCAGTTCTTTTTTTATTCAGGACTGTTTTAGGTATCCTGGATATGTGTGTGTGTGTGTGTGTGTGTGTGTGTATGTGTGTGTGTGTGTGTGTGTTACCACATGAAGCTGTTATTGTCCTTTCGGTTTTTGTGAAGAATTGTATTGGGATTTTGATAGCAATTGCACTAAATCTATAGATGTGTGTATTATGTATGTATGTATTTATTTATTTGGTAGGATGATCCTTTTCACTGTTAATCCTACCAATCCATGAGCATGGGAGATCTTTCCATCCTCTTATGCCTTCTTGATTTCTTTCTTCCATGTCTTGAAGTTTTTATTATATAAGTCTTGATTAGAGTTGCCCCAAGATATACTTTTTGAGATTATTTTGAGAAGTATTGTTTCCCTGATTTCTTTCTCAGTCTGTCATTTGTTTATAAGAGGACTACTTTTTGTTTTAAAAACCTGGAGCTCACTGATCCAACTGAAGTCACGAAGTCACTGGCCATCAAACCCCAGGATTCCTCCCCTCTCTGCCCCTCCAGTCCCGGGATCACAGGCACATGCAAGCACCCTTTGCTTTTTATGTGACCTGGGAATCCAAACTCAAGTCCTCATGACAAGCCTTTTACTGGCTAACAGGGTTCCCCAGCCCCTCCTAAATTCTTGAGTGTATAACTCCTAAGAACAAAGGAATTCTTCAAATTCCAGAAGCTTACTGTTGAATTAACGGCTTTCTTATCTCTGGCATATATTTCACGGTTGTCCCAACAAGGAGACAACCCTGTTCAATTGTTTGTGCCACAATCCAGGCACTAGTCCTGCCCCTTACATTTAATACTGTCTGTGCATCTTTGTAATTTTTTTTAGGATATAGTTCTTTATTATGTATGCAGTATTCTACATGCATGTGTGCCTGCCAACCTGAAGAAGGCACAGATCTCATTATAGATGGTTGTGAACCACCATGTGGTTGCTGAGAATTGAACTCAGGACCTCTGCAAGAGCAGCTAGTGCTCTTAACCCCTGAGCCATCTCTCCAGCCTCTGTCTATGCATCCTTTTCATTCTGGGATAACTTCTTGGCTTCAAATACTCATTTTTTTTTTTTTTTTTTTTTAAATTGAGGGAGGTGTGCTGGAAATAAAATCAAGACTTTTTAACTTGCTAAGCCTTGTTGCAAAGCTCCAGTCTTTTTTTGTTTTGTTTTTGTTTTTTTGTTTTTGTTTTTGTTTTTTGGGTTTTTTGTTTGTTTGTTTGTTTTTTGTTTTTTTGAGACAGGATCTCTCTGAGGCTTTGGAGCCTGTCCTAGAGCTTGCACTGTAGACCAGGCTGGCCTCGAACTCACAGAGATCCACCTGTCTCTGCCTCCCGAGTGCTGAGATTAAAGGCGTTTGCCACCACTGCCCTGGCACAAAGCTCCAGTCTTTAACCATTGCCCTGGAATAGCCAGAGGTAGAGGGAGTTTCTGACTGCCGCAGAGAACTACACTTTTTAGTTTTTAATGCAGGGTGTGTAGTCCTGGGTATCCTGAAAGAGCAGGGTGGCCTGAGTGCTGGGATTAAAGGTGGGCGTCAACAAACACCTTTATAAAACAAACAAACAAAACTATTTTTTATAATAGTTTCTTAAGGGTTATTTGGTTTTGGTTTTTGAGATAAAGTCTCAGCATGTAGCCCTGGTAGACCAGACTGGCCTCAAACTCAAAGATTTCCCTACCTCTGCCTCGTGGTGCTAGGATTAAAGTCATGCCACCATGCCCTGCAATTATTTTTTTAATAAAAAGTTTTTGCCAGGCATGGAGGCAGGGGAAGGAGGATCTCTGAGTTCGAGAACAGCCAGGACTATACAAAGAAACTCTGTCTTGAAAAAAGAGAAAATAAAAATAAAATGTACTACTTGTATCTTGTCCCTTCTGAAAGATTTTCTTGTTGTAGGTATATGTGATAACTGGCTTTGGACATGCTATGCCACACAATCCCAGCCCCCAAAAGCATTTTTTTTAAGATTGTATTTTTATTATTGTAAAATATTCAAGTCTGTGTGGGTATGAGTGCTGGTGCCCTAGGAAGCCATAACCATTGAAATCCCTAGAGCTGGAGTTACAGGTGTTTGTGAGTCACCTCAAGTGGTTGCTGGGAACCAAACTCAAGTTCTGTGGAAGAGAAATACATGCTCATCATCACCAAACGGTCTCTCCAGCCCCCTGAAGCGTTTTTACATGCTTGATGATTGTTCTCCTTTTGTGCACCTCTGCCATCAGGAGCTGGGTTAAGCATTCATTGGATTTTGGAGATCCGAGCCTTGAGTAAAAGTGGCCCAGCAGTGATAATTATTACCGAAAACAAGTTAGCATCACCTAGCTCCATTCTTGACCTCTTTCCTTGTAAAATGGGCCAACAAGGCAGCATTGCTTTCAGGGCTATCACTATTGTAATTAAAAAAGAAAAAAAAGTCAAACAAAAATGACTCAAGAGAAAGATGCTCTTCAGCAACTCACATGGAGGGTTGGTTTTTCTTCTTTTATTTTATTTTTTTAATTATGGGGAAAGATGGGGGAGACATCTTTGGGGACGGGAGCAGCAGAAGAAGGAAGGGGAGGGAGGAGGAGGAGAGAGAAAGGAACAGATGGAGAAAGACAGGAGGTGGGCAGGGCCCTTTTAAAAGGGGGACATAGTGAATGTGCACAGGTGGTGCTCTTAGTGGCTGCAGCTGAGGCTGTATCCTGTCAGAACCCCAAGGGCATGCCGTATGGGTGCATGAATAATAAACAATCACTATTGTCAGGACCCTGTACCTACAATGGTTTAGCCCCAACAGTTTTCACCTGCTGTAACTCCATCTACCTGCTTGGTTTCCTGGCTTCTGTGCGATAGTTGTCAGTAGAAACAGCAGCACTATCTCCCAGGAGCTTGGTTTGTTGGTTTTTCTGCCAGGAAGGTTTTTTTTTGTTTGTTTGTTTGTTTTTTTGTTTATTTTCCTGATATTTACTAGGAAGTTGGGCCAGAGGACAACATAAAGATGACATAATGACATGTAGCCATCTAGCAGTTTCCCCTTCCCACTTCCTATTAGTGCACAATGCTTTCTGACTCTAAATTTTATTTTATTTGGTGTATGTGAGTGTTTTTCCTGCCTGTATATTTATAGGCACAGAAAGTATGGGCCTGGTAGTCATGGAGGCCAATAGAGAGCACTATTTTCCCTGGAACTGGAGTTAGTTAAAGATAGTTGTGAGCCACCATGTGGGTGTTGGAAGCCAAACCTAGTCCTCTTTAAGAGCAACAGATTCTCTTAAACTGATGAGCCTAAGCTGACTCCCAGCCCCTTGTCTGTCTGTCTACTTTAGATTGGTTGACTGATTGACTTAACTGATATATTACACATTGAGCCCCGAGAGAAGCAAATGCCTCTTTCAGAAAGTAAGCAAGGCCCTTGCTTCCCATTTTATTTCCTCTTCAAAGTCCATTTAATCAAGGGTTTATCTCCTAGGACTATTGAAGAGAGACACCCTTTGTCACTTTGCTTCATGACTTGTGTGCCCACTGCTGCCCTTGGCCTGCCATAAATCTCTTGGTCTTGGACCCTCCCATCTAAATATTCTAGGTAAATATAGAAAGCTCTTTGGAGACAGCTGTTGGCTTACTGGCTTTGTACTAAGAATACAACAGAATATCAGCTTTGTACTAAGCATACAACAGCATTTATAAAAATAACTTCAAAATGAGAGGTAGGGAAGGGAAATCACACAGCTGAAGTAAATGAAAAGCTAGCAGGGTGGTTGCAACAGTGTTTTCTGTTTGTTTTTGCTTTTTCCCTTGGCTGCTGTTTTAGGGCCTTCATCAAAAAGCCATTTTTGTGTGTTTGACAGTTTCATAGGACTATACAGTGTGTTGTGTTCACCTCCTAGTACTCCTTCCCCCACCCAGCTTCTGCGGATGTCCTTTTTCTTCCTGACTAGTACTTCTCCTGCTTTATGTCCTGTCTTCCTGTAAAACGGCTGCTGCAGGGTGTTCATGAGTGGAAAGCTATGTCATCCTATCCAGGAGACATTTTCACAAGGCTCCTTTTCCGTCCTCTAGCTCTCCCAGTCGGGCCTCGGTGGGCACATACACTTGTGTACACAGATAATGAATGCCCAGACACATATTTAAAATTAAAACAAGTCTTTTCCAAGAAATGTTGCATGTGATTGTGAAAGGTGAAAACAACATAAATATCTAGTAGGTACAGTGATGGTTAAAATATACTGGATTAAATTTTTCTATTAAATCTATCTTGCATGAAGCCTTGAGGTTGATCCTCAATACCACATAAACTGGGTATAGTACATGCTTGTAATCCCACCACTGGGCAAAGACAGGAGGATCAGCAGTTCAAGACCATCCTTGTTTGAGGTCAGCCTGGGAGACACATGACCTTGTCTCAAAATGAAAGAAGAGGAAGACAGCAAAGAGGAATAAAAAAGAAAGCTGGGTATGGTGGCACACTCTTGTATTCCCCAGAATTGAGTGGTGGAGGCAGGAGGATCAGGAACTCAAGGCCAGCACGGGCTGCATGAGACCCTAAAGAGATGGAGAGGGACTGAGTTGTTAAGGATTTAATAACATTGGACCTCACTCTTGCTAAACACATACTCTGTTACCAAGCTATGCACTCAACCACTAATTAGTATTTCTTAGTAAAGCGTTTATGTTCTAGAGGTATAATCTAAAAACCTCAAGGGTATGTTTCTTTATATGAAACATCAATAGACACCTTTTTTTGAGGGGGCTCTTCAAGACAGGGTTTCCTCTGTATAACAAACAGCCCTAGCTGTCCTGTAGACCAGGCTGGCCTCAAACTCACAGAGTTTTCTGCCTCCCAAGTGCTGGGATTAAAGGTGTGCAACACTACTGCTTGGCTGGACACCTTTTTTATTATGACAAAACACGAATGAGATGAAGGCTACCCATCATACCTTATTTGTTTATTTGTTTGTTTGTTGCAGGGGTTGGGGGGGCAGGGTCTCACTCTGTAACCCTGACTGGCCTAGAACTCTTGATGTGTACCAGGCTGGCCTCAAACTCAAAGAGACCTGTCTACCTTTGACTCCTGAGTGTAAGCCTCATCATACATACCTTTTGTTTTGGTTTGGTTTTGGTTTTTCGAGACAGGGTTTCTCTGTATTGCTTTGGGGCCTGTCCTGGAACTCACTCTGTAGACCAGGCTGGTCTTGAAGTCACAGAGATCTGCTTGCCTCTGCCTCCCGAGTCATGAGCCATCAATGCCTGGCCATCATACCATTTTTTAAACATAATTTAGCAGTGTTAAATACATCCACTGTGTCCAAATCCAGAATACTTCTAGACAAAACTTTTTAATTTAATCTGATTTTTAGCTTTTTTTTTTTTTTTTGTTTTTGTTTTTGTTTTTGTTTTTGTTTTGGGAAATGGCTGTCTCACTGTAGCCAAGGCTGGCTTCATGATGCAGGCTAACCTCTGATTGCTAGGATTACAGGTGTGTGCCATCATGCCCAGTTTGAATCTAGTTTTGGAAGTCACACGCAGAGTGATTGCAGGAGTAGAGAGCATTTATGTGTCATGACCAAAAAGGGTCACCCCCCCACCCCCATAAATGTCCTCACCAAGTTGAAAGAAAGAAAGCAAGGATGGGGGAGGGAGAAATAGCCCAGCATCCCCCGTATTCATGTGCCCCTGATTTGAACTCAAGCTTGTATGTAAAAACAGCAACTTGTTTTTCTTGTTTCTAAGCAGCCATGGAGACAGTAGGATTCCTCTGGATTCTTCTCCTTGGGCAGTTTGCTCCCTGGATGGGGCAGGGGGCTTCTGTGCTATTGTTGAACTATTACTGTTAGTTCAGGCCACTGGCTCTGCTTGGAGATGGTAGGCTCTTGACTTATTGGTCTTCTGGTAGAAAATGAAAGTGGCAGGTCCTCAGGGCAAAACCTGTAGTGACAGTGGCCTTGGACTTCTTTGGGCAGAAATCACCTTGAGTTGCTCTGGCGGCTTGTTTCCTTGAATTTGTAAATCTGTTAAATTGAAGATTGTCAGGCCTTTCCTTTTACTCCCTCCTAAGGCCTTGATGTGACTTGTTACTTCTTACTGAGTCTTTTGTCTCTCATTTCCTTTTGGCTCAGAACTCTTGGACTTGCAGTTAGAGTCTCCTTGACCCAGATGATATATGCTCATTAAAAGCAACTGTTCCGGATATGTGCTCCCTTCAGAAACAGCAACAATCAGTCCTTGGGACAGGCCACCATGTACCCAGAGAGTGTGTACTCAGGTGACCTGTGAGGTCTGTGGCCTGGTGGCACTTGTCTTTAGCGATACATGTTTTAAGAGTGAGGAGTAAGTTTTGGTAGGGTCTCAAAGCGTGCCTAGGGTAGCGGACTGACTTCATTGGCTGGTCCCCGGTGTTTGTTGGCAGGAGGGTGCTCCCACTTCTTTCTGCTCTGGCTTGGGGCTTCTTCCCACTCTGCATGTTGTATGACTCCGGGAGTTTTAAAGGCTGGTTCCACACTTGAGAGATCAAGTGATTCATCCACCTGGGCCTCCCAAGTGGCTGGACTCCGGTTTGTGCACACCACACCTGAGCCTGGCTGATATGTGACCACTACTACTGCCACCTGACACTTCCTTCTCCTTTCTCCTCCTCTCCACCAAGGCCTCATTATATTCCTTTTCTTTTGTCCTTTTTTTTTTTTTTCAAACATATATGGTTGTTTTGCCTGCATTTATGTCTCTGTGTGTGTGTGTGTGTGTGTGTGTGTGTGTGTGTGTGTGTGTGTGTGTGTGTGTGTGTGTGTTGCCAGAGGAGAATAAGGAGAGAGTGCTGGGTTCCTGGGAACTGGAGTTACAGATGATTAGGAGTTACCATATGGATGCTGGGACTTGAACCTGGGTCCTCTGGGAGAGCACCCAGTGCTCTCAACCACTAAGCCATCTCTGCAGCCTCCTCATTACATTTCTTGAAAACATGTACCCAGGGTCAAGACCAGAGGTCTGAGAATTATAAGCCAAGGATGGTTCCTGCCTTTTAAATCTTGTGATGCTGAAGATCAAACCTGGGGTCTTTATACTTGCTAGCAAGTGTTCGGCGGCTGAGCTACACCTAGGCCCCTGGTCTTTACATTTTTCGAAGGATCATAAAGCAAATAGGAAATAAATAAAAAGTAAGTAAGGATGCATGTAACCAACCCATACACTCTACATAGTCCATGGTACTTTTCTTAGTTGGCCACCTGGTTTCAATCTGTGTTGAAAGTGAATTTCCAAGCCAGCTGTAATTGCTCGCACCTTTAATCCCAACACCTGGGAGGTAGAACCAGGCAGATCTCCATGAGTTTATGGCCAGCCTGGTCTATCTACACAGTAGCTTCAGGTCAGCCAGGGCCACATAGTGGGACACTAAAGAGTAACAAAATGGGTGTTCATGGGGGGGGAGGTGCTGACATTCCTTTGCATTCTTTTCCGAAGTCTGCTTTCTCTGCTGACTTGTAACCATTTCCCTCTTCTCCCCTCTCCAAAGAAATACCAGCCCTCGGATCCTGCCTTCGCCTATGCACAGCTGACCCACGATGAGTTGATCCAGTTGGTCCTCAAACAGAAGGAAACCATCAACAAGAAGGAGTTTCAGGTGAGGGAGCTGGAAGACTACATTGACAACCTTCTGGTCAGAGTCATGGAGGAGACCCCCAACATCCTCCGAGTGCCGACCCAGCTTGGCAAAAAGGCTGGAAAGATGTGAACCACATGAAGGAAATGGAGATGTTTTGTGAGCTTGTTTCCACCTACTCTCACGGTCAAGGGTGTGGTCTGCCTAATAACCAGCACACAGGCCCATGTCACCGGGTGTGTGCCTTGTCTCTCGAGAGTTAATTCTCCTAGTTGAAACCAGGTTATTACCATGAATCTTTTGTATACATTCCCAGCATTTTATTTTTAAATACCACTGTGCCTTTAACTAAGTTGTAAATGTAAATGTTTGACCCTGTGTCATCGATTCAGGAGGCACCATTGGACTAATGTATTTTAACACTGAGGTGGTCACCCTTTGATACTGAGATCTTCGAGTATATATCCTCCCTGAAGCCAGGCTTAGGGTGAGATCAGAAAGGGACTGTACTGTGGATACTGCTTCACCTCTTTTCTTGGCAGATGGTAAATTTTTATGTCTTGTGAACTTCTCTCAGACTCAAGGATTGTTTTGGTAGAGTTTTTTGTTTAGGGGGCATTGTTCTGTTTTTCAGATAGGCTGTTGTATAGCCTGGGTTGCTCTTGAACTCACTGTATAGTTGAGACTAGCCTTCTATCTTCCCACCTCCACTCCCTAAGCTTTGGGATTTCCTCTGTGTTGATGTGCCTTGCCTGGAGCACAGCTGTTTATGAAAAGCCTCTGAGCATGCTTCTCAGAACAAATTGCCTCTTGCTTTTTTAGCCTTAAAAATACGATTTGTGGGTGGAGAAATATAGCTTAGAAGGTAAAGTGTTTTCACTGCAGAAATCTGTATTTGAATTCTCAGCACCAATGCAAAAGAAGCAGCCATAGCGGCAGGTGCCCGGGGTTGGGGGTCTCAGATGGGTGAGGGGGTCAGAGACAGGCAAATCCCTAGGGCTCACTGGCCAGCCGTCTAGCTGAAACAGGGAACTCCAGATTCAGTGAAGGACCCTGTCTTAACAAAATGAAAAGCTTCATAGGATCCCACATAGGTGAGCACACCCCACACATGCATACACACACACACACACACACACACACAGAGGCACACACACAGAGGCACATATACACTGAGCTTTTTAGATCCATAGGGCCATCTCCTGGAGATGTGAAGGAATTAAAGAGGCCCTTTTCAGGCTGGCTCAGTGGTTAAAATCACTGGCTGCTTTTCTAGAGGGACCCAGACTCAATTCCCAGCACCCACATGGTAGCTCACAACTGTAACGCCAGTTCCCAGTGATCCAACACCCTCACAGACGTATGTGCAAGCAGAACACCAATGGTGCATTTTTAAAAGGGTCACTTTTCGTTTAAGTAGGGAAAACTGGTCAGAGTCCCTCCTCTCGTGCTAACAGGGTTCCTGCTGCTGGAGAGAGGACTGAGTGACACAGACATTTAGTCCAGCCAGTCTGTGAGGTAGATAGAGAATGACTTTAGGAAGGGTCCCTTGGCCATGTCCACGCTTCCCTTTGCTTATCTTGTTGGCTTTCCCGGCAGCATTCATGGAAGGGAGTAGCCAGAGTCCACCAGTTCCTCAAGATGAAGGAGCCTTGGGCTAGGGCTGGGTAACTGCTCAGTGATATTGAGCACTTACCACCCCCACAGTTGCTACTCCTGATTTGGAGGAGTTTTGTTGATGCTGCTATTTTGAGACAGGATCTCACTGGCTTCAAACTTTCATTCCTCTTGCCTCGTCTTCCCAAATACTGGGATTCCATATGGGTATGTGTCGCCCACCATGCCTGGTAGATTGCTGTATTTTTTAAACTATATATATATATATATATATATATATATATATATATATATATGTATATATATATACATATATATGCATATATGCATACATATATGTGTGTGTGTAAACTAGATTTATATGTACAAATCTAGTTTTAAAATACAGATTATATATATATATATACATATATATATATATATATATTTTTTTTTTTTTTTCTTTTAAACTCAGCCCCATTTCATTGCTGGTTACCTCATACTGGAATTAAAGTGTCTCATGTTGCTCATTTTGTTTTTTTCTTCCTGGTTGTAATGAACTCGTAACATCTCTGTTAGGGGCAATCACAAGGCAGTGGAATGGACAAGGTGAGGTGGTGGTAGTTACCAATGAAGAATCTCTGTGTGTGTGTCCTTGTCATGCAGAAGATGAAAACCATTGGTTACACTGGAGCACTTTAATCTGAAGGGCAGGACTGTAACATGATTTATCTAATTAACTGTTAATGATCCATACCTATTTTTATTTAACTCTCTTACAATACTAAGGACCACTGCAAATTTCTGAGATGATTTGTAATTTTTGTAAAATTTATTGACATGCCTATAAAAAAAAACATATTCACTTGAACTCTGAAAATGTACATGTATATGTCTGTTCTGGATTATGTTTTTTACTTGATAAAAATGCATTTTTACTGTGATAACCTAAGTGCATGGAGGGCGCGGGCACTGGCTCCCCAAAGACTCGGTCTGGAGAACTAACTGCCTTGTTAAGGACCAGTCTGGAGGTCTCTGCTGGGATTGGGACCTTTGACATGTTACTGAGTCAGCACTAGAGAGGACCATCTAGGTGGAGTGAATTCCTGTGCTCTGAAATGCCACTTGGGAACTCTGGAGAATGAAGGACAATTTACTTCAAGGGCTTCACTGGAAAACATTGCATTTCTTTCTGCTGTAGCTCACAGAGTACATGGAGGCCACGCCTACTTAATAACTGGTCTTGAATATGTAGTTGGAGGCCGTGGAACGATACCAAGGGAGGCTGAGCCTGCAGTAGAGGTTGGTGGCTTGGAGAGCCCTGGAGCTACTGAGACTGGCCGCTGACTTGTGCCTGTAGCTAACACGGAAGCCAGCATGAGGTGCCCTGGACAGGCCTGCGCTCTGGAAACAAAGGGGTATTTTACCTTGCCCTTGCCCTTGCCTGGCTGCCTCCAGAAAGCCCAGCCAGAGTGTGAGGGGGCACTGGATTATATCCAGCAGAATCCGATTGGAGTCAGCTTCCTAAAAAACAGTCAGCCCTGGGCCCAGTTGTTTCCTATCATCTTATTCTTGGCTTTGGCACTTGGCCTGGCCTCCCTGTTTTATTATAGTACATTCCCTTCCTTTCTCACCAGAAGGAAAGAGCAAGCAACCCTGCCTTGTGCCATGCTGCACAGCTGTGGCATGCATGAAAGATGAGCTGTGTGCCTCCTGACTCAGCTCACTGGCATGAAGACAGGCTGGTCCATGATGCTTTGTATTTTCTCCATTGAGACCAGAGCTTTTCATCCCTAGGTTCTCCCTTTAGTTTCTTGGTGTTGGGGATTAAACTGGGTGTCTGCATATGATAATCCCATGCTCTGTCACTGAGTTACACCCTCAGCCAGACCTCAACCCCACTTTGTGATTTTTGGGGGGGGTCTTTATTTATTTTAATCAGGTTCTCATGTAGCCCAGGTTAACCTTGCACTGGCTTTATGGCTACTGCTGACCTTTAACTCCTGATCCTCCTGCCTCCACCTTCCAAGTGCTGGGAATATCAGCATGCTATCACTCCCAGCCTCCCAGCTTTTTTTTTTCAGGGGTGGGGGGGTCCTGATTAAGATTCCTAAAAGACTGAGAATCAGTCAGTTGCCTTAGATGGGAAACATGAACTCACACCAGCCCCAAGTGTGAATTCTCCTACCTACTTTGTGAGCTACAAAATTGGCTTTCCCCTCCCTCCACCTGAAGGATCAGTGTTTGTTTGTTTTAATTACAGAATTACTGTTCCCTGCGTGTTGCTTTGGGACTTTTGAACGGGCTTGGTATTGCTTTTAAGAAACACCTAAAGGATGAGGCATGTAGCTCAGTATGGGGTCTCCTTTATACTCACAGAGTACTAGGTTTGATCCTTTCCCCCATCCCAGTCTCCCCCTCTCTCCCCCAGCAACCCACTCCCCTCTCTTTCCTCTTCCCATACACCCTACTATATAAGCTGAGCATCAGGATGCCTGTAATCCCAGCCAGCACTTGGGGGCAGAGACAAGGTGACCAAAAGTTCAACCTCATCCTCAATAGTGCAGGGAGTTTTAAGTCAGACTGTGTGATACATGAGATCTTGTCTAAAAACAACAACAAAAACCCACTGAAATTTCCTAACACTAAATAAAATGATACTACCTTCTGAAGATTTGTCTCTGCATTTCAATTGGGGTGTGATAGAAGTTCCTGCTGTCCTTCTGTCTGGTTGGAAAACTTAGGGTGGTCGTATCCCATAATGGTCTCTTGTGTGAAGCCCTGCAGCTACCACCACGATCATGTCTAAGGGTGCCCCAGCCCCTTATGGAGAGAACAAACTTCTCCGTTCTGACTTTTCATAGTTCTCATAGTTCTCATCTTATCCTGAGGGCCCATGTCTTTGACACCCTTGAATGTCTGCCCAAAAGTTTCAGAAGTACCCCCATCTGAGAAGCAGATCCCATGTCAGTCAGCTTGGATGACCTGATAGAAGCTATTAGGGCAGATGCAGGTGTCTCCTCCCACACTCTATTTCCCTCAGCTCGCCTTTCCATCCAGGCTAGGTCTGTCTGAGCTTGAGAGCGTCTGCTGGCCTCAGGTGTGGAACATGATTCATAGGCCTTGCCCTGTAGACTATGGAGAGGGGCAGGTACTGTTTCTCTCAGAAATGAGATCACATTGCAGAGGCCATAGGTTGGGGTCAGGAGCTAACATAGGACACTGAGTATCTACATTAAGGAATTTAAAAACAGATTCATAATTATTTGTGTTCTCATTTTGGGTTTTTTTGTGGTACTAGGAATTTTTATTTTTATCTATTTTCCCAAAGTTTTCATAAATGATAAGCATTGTGAAATCGGTTCTCTTGAACCCTCATTTGGAATTCTTTCAGTTTGGTTCCTGCTGCTGCTACCCAGCTCAGCGCTTATAGTCAGTCAGCCTAGTGTTTTCAAATTCCAGTTCAAAAAAGGACACTTGTCTTGTCCTTAACTTGGCTATTATTAACAGAAAGCTTTTGTTATTGACAGGTAGGTAAGTAGGTGGGTGGATGGACGGATAGATAGATAGATAGATAGATAGATAGATAGATAGATAGATCTAAAACAAGAGAAATGGCAATAGAGTAGATGAAAAGCATAAAAGGAAACTTTCCCAATTCTGGACGTCTGAGCTGAAAGAAGTTGACCCCCAAGGGCTCAGCAAGTGTCTGCTATGACAGCAAGGTAGCCTTGAGTAGTCCCCTGGTGCTGTTACTCTGACCCATACCAGGATTTTTCCTCTTACACAGCAGATGCCCTTTAACAGAAAGATCACTGTTTTGTTTCCAGTCTCAACTCCTTTCCAGTGCCTCGTCAAATGCTGGGTAATCAGCACCATGGCTTTCTACTAGAGGTACTTGCCACACAAGCCTGGGGACCTGAGTTAGATCCTAGGAAGCCAGCATGGATGAAAAGAACTAGTCCCTGTACTTTGTTCTCTGGTCTCTGCATACGTACTGTGGCTCTTGCCTGCCTGTATGTACAGACACTAAGAAATAATTTGTAAACAAATGGCACTGTTATTGGGAGGTAGTTGAAATACTAGGAGGGAGATGTAGTAAAAATAACTTAGGTCATTGAGGATGTTGGGAACTGTACCCCTCTTATGTCTGTTTCCTGACCACCATGAAGAATCAGCAAAGCTCTTAACATGAGTCCCAGCCATCATATGCTGCTGCCTTGACACAACCCGGAACAGAAGAGCCAACCAGCCTTGCAAGAAAACCTGAAATGAGAAACCCAAATAAACCTGCCTTTTCAGTTGATCACACCAGGTTCCTTGCTCCTATTGTGGGATTCTAACACAACCACACCTGTCCTGAAGGTACCTGGTGAACACGATGGAAATTTGCAACAATCTATACTTTGCAACATGACTGATAAGGATTCAGAGACACACACATTCCACCCACCCCCAGCTAACTCACCAACAGCAAGGTCCTTTCTGATGCAGCTTATGACTGCCACCTATGGGCCAAAAGGGAGACATGCTGGATGAGGGCTCCTTAGCCTCAGCCTACCCAGGGAAAACAGCCCATCCTTCACCAAACCTGAAGTGTCAGCACGCAGCCTTCCATAGCCTTGAGCTGAATAACCAGACAAATGGATCTTGTTTGGGGCTTCCTTTTTGGCATTATCTTCAGGATCCCTGCAATCTCATCTCGTGGGGCATCCTGACCATCGGCCAGTTCTAGCCTAAAACTGGCATAGTTGGCCCAGCATCTCCCATAACCAAAAACTCAAGGGTGAATGTTCTCAGCATTTTAATTCTCCGTTCTTTTCACTCAGAAACACGTTTCCCGAGCTGTGGATAGGCTCACATTGAGTTGTGACCTCCAGAGAGTTGAGAGAAAGCTGCATTTGTCTTGCATGTGGGTGAATGCTGGGTCCAGGCAGCACCTTCACTGCAAAAGTGAGCTCCCGAAGTACTACTATTACTACTACTACTACTAAATTTGGTCAAGGCAGAGATACTGACTCTATTAGAAACATGAGACAAACTTAGACACCAGACCTTTAACTCCATGAGTCACATCAGAGCATTGAAGTAAGATTCAGCTGGGTGGGGTCAAAACTACTCAAGAGGAGTCCAGGAGCTTCTGAGACCTCCTAAAGTCTCTGACTCCGTGGGTTAGAAAGGAAGTCATCAGACTATGGCTTGTCACCCGTGTTTATACAGCTTTTCAGCCAAGACAGACTTGTACATTTATATGATGAATTAAAGAAAAATCAAAGTGATAGCATTACACAATGCAGAAATTACACGAAATTCAAATTTTAGTCTTTACAGATGGAGATTGATTAGGCAGAGCCAAACTTACTTATGTACATGGGCACTTATGTCTTTGGCATTTTTGCTGCAATAGCAGAGGTCAGGAAGTTTTAGCACAATCCAGTCTGTCTTTGAAAATCTAAATATGTGCTCTGTGGCCTTTTGCAGGAAATGTTTGTCATCCTCATTCTGGAATCACTATGGGGCAGATAATGTTCTTTGATTCTAGTAGACTTATGAAAATTGCTCTGACTGGGGAAATGGAGTCCACATGATGCAATCCCCTAGAAACTGCATAAGACCAGATAATTTATAGGTTCCCAGAAGTGAAGGTCCTGAGGAGTGATTAGTATTCCTGCCGGGAGCAGCAAGGTGGTCCTATGTCCACTTCTTATCTATCACATGTCAGCCTGGAGTGGTGGCACACTGATAATTCCAGCCTGGACCAGAAGGATGATGAATTTGTGGTCAGCCCAGGCAATAAGGGTTTGTCTCAAAATAGAAATTCAAAGAAAAATAAAAAAGATAAAGAAAAAGTTAACATGTTTTTGGTCTTGGATGCTCAAGAAGTTGGGCATATTCTTCAGCCAACAGAGTGTGTGTGTGTGTGTGTGTGTGTGTGTGTGTGTGTGTGTGTGTACATACACAAAAGGGAAAGGTGACTAAGACCCAGGAGAGTCGTGCCCATACTCTGTACTGTGACTCTCTTGTCAGTGAGTATTGGAGAGTGAATGTTCACTAAAGAGCTCAGGTGACCAAAAAGAAATTCAGTCAGAAGAGCTCCAAGACCTGATGGACCAGTCAGGCTTGGGGTGAGAATGAGAAGTTCTCAGAGTGAAATTGGCCTGGTCACCAAGTTGCAGTCAAGAGAGCTGAGAGGAGCCTGCCTGGGGTTGAGTCACCTCACTGGTGGCTCACACTAGGTTAGAGGGTCTAAAAATGATATAATCTGAGGAATTCCATCTGTTTAGTGTTTCTCCCAGGCCCACCCAGGACAGCTATTCACAGCAACTGAACCTTCATACCCAGTGTTAGCCCTTCCCAAGACGATCAAGTCTCAGAAATCTGCCACTGTGGGGATGTCAGCAAGACTAACAATGTGCTAGAATAGATGTATCTAGTTTGGAGTGGTGTGGGTGGAGTGTAGTGGGGACTCCTTGTCTCCAGACCTGCCTCTCCTTGAGCAGTTAGTTTCCTCTTCGGTCTCTTTTCTAGAAAAAGCCCAACATCAAAATTGGCATTGCACACATGGACCGTGCCTGGACTTTCTTTTCAGTGGTCTCTCTGGGCTGTGTGTGCCACTACCTCTCCACATCTCCCTTCCCAGTAGCTCTAAACCAGCCATTGTGGTATGTGGCTCAGGAGTGCCTCAAATAAAACAGTTAGGGGTGGGGATGGAGTGGGGCAGTAACTCTCAGAAGAGCATGTGAAAGGGCCGAGAATGGATACTCCACTGTCCACTCGGCATATGACCTGGGTCTATCTGAGAAGTCTGCCCTGTCACATAGGTGTCCTTTATCTGTGTCCATTCTTCCGACTCTACAATTGTAGGTGAGAGGCTTCAATACAATACTGCATAATGGAGAAAGTGTGAACATCCACATTCGTGTCCTATAAAGCTCTCCCTTTTCTCTTTAAATTCACTGAAGTTCAAGAACTGCATACACTAAAGGAGGAGAGCAATCTGATAGGGTTCTGTACGGGAATGAGAGAACAACATCTTAGCAGAAGTGGTGGCATAAGCTTGCAACCCAGCACTCTGGAAACTGAGGCAGGAAGATTAAGAGTTGGATGTCACTCTGGGCTACACAATAAGACTCCGTCTCAAAATTAAAAAAACTGGGGGCTGTAAAGAGTAGTTAGGAGCACTGGCTGCTCTTCCGAAGGACACGGGTTCAATTCCCAGCACACACAGGGCAGTTCACAACTGTCTGTAACTCCAGTTCCAAGGGGTCCAACACCCCCATATAGGCAAACCAATGTACACGAGATAAAGATAAATAGGTCATTAAAAATTTAAAAACCATTCTTTGCTGGGTGCTGGTGGCACATGCCTTTAATCCCAGGCACTCAGGAGAAGGAGGCAGGTGGATCTCTGTGAGTTTGAGGCCAGCCTTGTCTACAGAGTGAGTTTCCATACAGCCAGGGCTACACAGAGAAACCCTGTCTTAAACAAACAAACAAAAAAAAACAAAACAAAACAAAAAAAAAACACCCCCAATACTGTTTCAATGGGGACTAATTTACCTATATTTAGGCATTTGTACTGGCCTGTCCTTTGAGTTCTGACAGGACACGCCCTCAGCTGCAGCAACTAAGAGCACCATTTATACATATTCACTATGTTCCCTTTTAAAAGGGCCTTGGCCACCTCCCATCTCCCTCTCTTTTCCTCTCTGTCTGTCCCTCCATCCCCCCTCCCTCCCTCCCTCCATCCCCTTCCTCTCTCCCTCTCCCCCACCCTTTTTTCTCTGCCTCTTTCCTCTCCTGTTGCTCCTGTCCCCAGAGGCCTGTCTACTCCCTCCACCTTTTTACAATCCCTTTCCCCTAATTAAAAAAACCTCCACTTGAACTATTCTATGGTGTCTTTCTCTCTGGAGCTGGAGCTGCTTTTTAAATTACAACAAGGTGTTTGGAACAATGGCACCGACACATTAAGCACATCTAATTTGTAATTCAGTTTCCATAATGGTGTCATTGGAAGCAATATTGTAACACTTAAAGCTCAAGGTTTCATTTTTATATTTTTATTTATTTATTTTGGTTGGATTTTTTTTTTTTGAGACAAGTTTTCATATAGGTCAGGCTTGTCTCTAACTCTTGATCCTCCTGTCTCTGTTTCCTAAATGCTGGGATTACAGACATGTGTCTCTCTTAGCTTAAAGTTCAAGATTGTTTTTCCCTTTTCTTTCTTTAAAAAAAAAAAAAATAGAGAGAGGGTATATGTAGCTCTAGTTGGCCTGGAACTCACCATGTACATCAAATCAAGTTGCCCTTGGACTCACAGAGCTCTGCTTGCCTTTGACAAATATCATGCTGGCTAAAGCCTGTAATCCCAGCAAGCAGTAGGTGGAGGCAGAAGTATCAGTATTCTAGGTCAGTCTGGGCTACATAAACAAAACAGTCTTAAAATAAATAATAAATTAAATGATATTTTAAAAAATAGTGTTTGGGGGGCTGGAGAGAAGGCTCAGAGGTTAAGAACACTAGCTGGTCTTCCAGAGGTCCTGAGTTCAATTTCCAGCAATCACATGGCTTACATCCATCTGTAATGAGATCCGGTGCCCTCTTCTGGCCTGCAGGGATATAGGTAGACAGAACACTTATACATAATAAATAAATCTTTAAAAAGAAATAGTGTTTCGTAGACAGCAATTCCTTATCTCTGGCATGTGTCAACTCCCAACGTGTCCCAATCTCAAGATACCGGAGAACCTGAGACACAGTTAAGCCCAGGAACCTTCCTTTCTAACTCATGTTTCCAGCCGAGTCCACAGACGGGATCGGAAGCGGCGAGCAGCCACGGAGCGGAGTAAACTAGCAGCAGTTTGTCCAGCTGACCGGAAGAGGAAGGTGCAGCTGGAATAAGGTCCCCTCCGCTTCACTGCCGCCGGACAGTTGGCTATCCGCTCTTAGGAGTGGGTGTCTGGCAGTACCGCCGTACTGACAAATGGTGAGATGCCGAGCGGAAGCCGCTGCCCGGACTGCGGCTCCTCTGAGCTTGTGGAAGACTCTCATTATTCTCAGAGCCAACTGGTGTGCTCCGACTGCGGCTGTGTGGTTACCGAGGGGGTCCTTACTACCACCTTCAACGACGAGGGCAACCTCAGAGGTACTGGGACCTGTCCTCAGGCCCTGGGGGTAGCCTGGGGCGGTGGAGTGCTTAAACCCAGATTCCTAGTCCCCCTCCCCCCAGTTAAATGTGTGCTTAAAACTCGCTTAAAGTAAATTAGCTGGAGGAGGGTGCTATTCATCTATTTTCCCCAATACCTTCTACGGTGTCTGGCTTTTAGTGGGCGTACTGGATGATGAATGAATGAAACAGAAAAAAGGTTTCACTCATCTTGTTAGACCTGGTCAGTGTTGAAGGCTTGTCTGTAAATTATTAGGGAATAAAGCACGAACCATTACCCATATTAGTTTTTAGCACTAATTCACAAAATGCTCCTTCCTCCCTTCTTTTCACTCCATTGTGTAGTCCAGCAGTTCTCAACCTTGGGGTCTCAACCCTTTTGGGAGACGAATGTCCCTTTCACGGGTGTCGCCTAAGAGCACCCTGCATATCACCTACTTATATCCTAATGTAGCACCGAAATTAATTTTATGACTAGGGATCACCACAATATGAGGAACTGTGTTAAAAGGTCACAGCATTAGAAGATTGAGAACCATTGTGCTAGTCCTTGACTAGTGCAGCCTTCAAAATGGATCGTAACAGAGAACTGGCTGGAAAATTGGAATCACCAGTGCTGCTTTATATAGTTCTACATTGACTGTCTTTGGTGCTATTTGACCAAAAAAAAAAAAAAAAAAAAAAAAAAAAAGCAAGCCAGGAGAGCCTTTACTTTTACATGGATGGGTATCTTCTCTGAGAGAAGATGTAGATACACAATAATTTGAAATCTCCCTGTGGCCAGAGGGCAAGGAGAAAGGAGATGACGAATGAATTAAAGGCCAGCTGTGCTATTTGTTGTTTATTATTTTGCAGAAGTGACATATTCTCGAAGCACAGGAGAAAATGAACAAGTTAGTCGCAGCCAGCAACGAGGTGAGAATCAGTCTTTGCCCTTAAATTTCAGCTTTGCTTTATTTATGTGACTCTTTGATATTTTAGTATTTATTTGCATGTGTGTTCTAATTGCATGTATGTATGTGCACCGTGTGCATGCCTGTTATTCTTAGACTCAGAAGAGGATGTTGGATTACATGCAAATGGAGTTCTAAGTGGTTGTGAGCTGCCATGTGGGTGCTGGGAACCAAACCCAGGTCCTTTGCTGGAGCAGCAAGTGCTCTGAATTGCTGAGCTATTCCTCCAGCCCAGAGAATCAACTTTTTGTGATACAGTGGCTTTTAAGAAAATTATCTTGATGTCCTAGGCCATCTGGTGTCCTTGTTATCAGCCTTACTGATATAATATATGGACTAGAAGAGGACAGTTATTGATGGGGTACATGCCTACAGTCCCAGAACTCAGGATGTGAGACAGGAGGATAGACTTTGAGGTCAAGCCAGTTTGCATAGTGAATGTCTTAAAAACCAAAAGGAGTATAGGTATGTGAAGATTTGGGTCTGCACGGGGTTAAAGTAGCCTCAAGGAACCTGGGTAGAAGCTTGGCTTTGGAGCTAGGGGGTAGATTGGTTATAGAGTGTGCACCTATCATGTGTAAGGCTTGGGGTTTGATCCCTTGTACCAAAAATAAGAAACTTCCCTGTCCATAAATTACAATAGCTCATATAAAGGTGGTGGATTGAATGTGACCTTCCCACAAATGTTCTGTACCTTTGGAAAGACCACAGTTCTAAGGGGCTAAGACTACAACTCATCAATACAGAGCTTGCCCAACATGCTTGAGGATCTCGGGTCTAACTCCAGCACCACAAAACACATTAAATGTCCCATTAGGACTGAAGGGCATATAATTTGCACATCTTATATATATGGCAAGTTTAACAGAACTAAATTAAGCCCTAGCCGAATTTGCTAGTAGCTACACATTATTTCCTTTTGACCTCTCTGCTCGCTGTTTATGATGTGTTTTCCTAGATCTCCGTCGAGTGAGAGACCTGTGTCGAATTCTGAAGTTACCCACCACGTTCGAGGATACAGCAATCTCCTATTACCAAAGGGCCTATCAGCTGTCTGGCATCCGTGCTGCTAGACTACAGAAGAAGGAAGTGTTAGTTGGATGCTGTGTTCTAATCACCTGCCGGCAACATAACTGGCCCCTCACCATGGGAACCATCTGCACCCTGTTGTATGCGGATCTGGATGTGTTTTCAGGCACCTACATGCAGCTAGTGAAGCTTCTGGGGCTGGATGTGCCCGCTCTGTGCCTGGCAGACCTGGTGAAGTCTTACTGCAGCAGGTGCTTATCTAAGAGGAAACCCTGGGTGGGAAGGTGTCCTGGCAGATGCATGCTGTTACCCGAGCCTGTCTCAAAGGGTGTGAGGGTCTTTCCGTGCTTACCACTGAGGTTAATACCATTTGTACATTTCCAGAACACTGTAATCTTCTAATCCCCTTTCCATCACAGGACTGTAACAATGTTAAAAAAAAAAAAAAAAAGAAGAATAAGAAGAAGAAGAAGAAAAAAAAAAAAAAACTCCCTAGCCAGCCTTGGCATAAGGCTACTGAGCTGCCCACTCCTGCTTTATGAATGGTAGTGATTAGAATTATTTGGCAGGGGCCACCTGTCACTGTATTCAGTGGCCCTGCTCCAGCAGGATTGCCTCTATATGGAGTCGAAAGGTTAGTGGTAGAACTAGGTTTGAAGCTAAGGTTTTAGTGAGATTTTTAGTTTTTTGGTTTTAGAGAGTCTCACAGAGCCCATGCTGTGCTTGCACTTCTGATCATCCTCCATCTTCCCGGGATTATGGTGTGCACCCGTCCTTGGCTTGCCTTTTTTTTTTTTTTTTTTTTTTTTTTTTTTTTTCCCTGACAAGTATACTTTAAAACAAAACCAGAGCACAAAATGGCTGAGGAAGTTTGGTAGTACACACCTTTAATCCCAGCACGTGGGAGGCTGAAGCAAGAAGATCTTGAGTTCTAGATCAGCCTGGACTTCATGTTGAAACCCTATGTTAAAAGAAACAAACAGCTAGGCATTGGTGGTGCATGCTTTTATTTTCAGTGCTCGGGAGGCAGAGGTAGGTGGATCTCTGAGTTTGAATCCAGCCTGGTCTACAGATCGAGTTCCAGGACAGGCTCCAAAGCAATACAGAGAAAGCCTATCTCAAAAAAGAGAAAGCACAACAAAACAAAAAACTCAAAAAAACCCAAACAGTGATGATTGAAACTTGGTCCTATCCTAAGTAGACACACATAATGGTGCACTCTGTAGAGTAGATGAGGGCACTGGAATTGTGATAATAGGAAGTGCTTGATTATGTTAGTGCCTTCACCTGGCACGTGCTTGCCCCCTTTTCTCAGAACCTCAATCCCCAATGATCTTGAGTGTCTTTAGGACTAAGCAGCTTCCCCACCCATCTTGGGGAGACTACCCTCTCACCCTGGAAGAACCCTCTTATCATTCGCTTGACTTCCATTTTGGTTGTTTCAGCTTCGCACTGTTCCAAGCTTCCCCATCTATACCGGTTAAATATGTGGAGGACAAAGACAAGATGCTTTCCCGCACCTTGCTGCTGGTGGAGCTGGCAAATGAGACTTGGCTAGTGACTGGGCGGCATCCCTTGCCTGTCATCACTGCTGCCACCTTCCTGGCATGGCAGTCTCTGCTGCCTTCTGACCGACTGACATGCTCTCTTGCCCAGTTTTGTAAATTGGCCAATGTGGACCTGCCCTACCCAGCCGCCTCTCGTCTGCAGGAACTCTTGGCTGTTTTGCTTCGGATGGCCAGCCAGCTGGCCTGGCTGCGAGTTCTCAAGCTTGATAAGCGGACCGTAGTGAAACACATCGGTGACCTTCTCCAGCACCGCCACATGCTGGTCCGCATGGCTTTTCGAGATGATGGAACGGCACAAGTGGAGACCCAGAAGCAACAGAAGGGAGAGCAAAGACAGCAAGAAGAGGCAGAGGGCAGTACCTTTGCTTTGCCTGAGAGGAAACGCCCTGCTAGTCCTGCACCCCTCCTCCCACCCTGCATGTTGAAGCCTCCCAAACGGTCCCATCCCACGCCCTCTATTTCTACAGTGACTGGAGATGAGAACATTTCTGATAGTGAAATCGAGCAGTATTTGCGCACCCCTCAGGAAATTAGGGACTTTCAGAGAGCCCAAGCTGCTAGCCAGGCAGCCATGAGTGACTCTAATCCTCCCTGATGCACATTCTTCAGTAATTCTGACAATTTGTTCATAGGCTCCAATTGTGTTGCAAGAAGTAAATGTATATGAACCTTGGGTATTTCTTTCTTATTTAAAGGATCCAAGAGTAGCTAATAATTGGACCCAGTGTCCTAGAGAAGTTGGGAGGCCTGTGAAATATCTGTGGGTGGGAAGATCCTGTCCCTTGGTGGAGGACAACAAGTTGGCTGTCTACAATCTGGGATGGATTCCTCCTAAAGCTGCTGAAGGTCTGCCCAGCTCTTCTGTGGTGTGAAGTAAATGCATTGCTGTCGTGAAAGAACTAGCATCCCTTCGGTTACAGGAGTAGCAGCAGAGATCCCTGGCCTGTGTTTGGTCTAGGTTCTAGGGGTCTTAGGCTCCCTTATATCACCAACAAAAAGACCATAGATGGACCACAGTTGTCTCTCAAAGGGCTTTGCAAGATTTTAATATATTAAAACAAAGAGGCATCTGCTAGAAAACATTCTATTGTATAAAACCAGACCTTTGAAACGTGTTTTCTTTGGCACTTCATTCCCTCCCTCCCCTTTCCCCGGCATATTGCAAAAAGCTCTCCAGTGCTAAGGCATTGGCAGGGTATGTAAACAGCAGCCAGCATACGTGGAAGAGTAATACAAAGCTTTTCCTCTAATATCGACTGTGCAGCAAGCATAAATAACCGGACCCATCTCGAGGAGTACGGATTCTGCCCCACTCTGTTCTCTCACCTGACCAGACCTGGGTTCCCTGCTTCTCCACAAGGTCCAAGGATACCTCTATTTCCATGTGGTTCGGTAGTCAAGGGCATTTTAAGTGGCTGGAGTTTTTAGCAAGTCGTGAAAGCACAGACTCTTGAGCAACCTGAACCCAGGTACTGCCTCAGAATCTGGTTGGGTTTCAGCGAGTTGGGAGATGGTTTGGCATTTTAGGTTTCTACCTGGAGTTAGGAATCGGATTACCATGGCTTTGCCACAGAAGCCTCATGGAGGCATTTCCCCCTCAGCCCCTTGGAGTTGGACAGCTGAGAGCAGGCAGTGGGTATTTTAACTGAGCAGCTAAGTGGACTCGCTCTTTAGAGCATTGTACAGGTGATACCCAGATCCAAACATTAGCTCCCTCCCCTTGAGTCTTTAGGCACCTGGCAGCCTCACTTTCTCAGGTGTGTAGGGCTCAGGTTTTGTTCTGAGCTAGCTGGAAGAATTGTGTGCCACTCCCTAGGGATTATGTTTCCCTAATTGTGCTCCTCTCCTGCAGGACTAGCTGATCTCTAGAGTTGCCTACACACTGCCCCCTCCCCCTTGCATAGTTATCTGAAAAGGCAGCGCCCGTTGCTCTCCCTGGCAGGGCACCTGGCTCGCCTGCTAGGATGGTTTCCCAAGCAGAAGGCCTGTGATCTTGGCAGTCACACGGTGGTGCCTCATGAGACTGCTGAGGAGACTGCAGTTCCCAGGCTTCCTGAGTCTTCCTTGCCTGGGCTCTTCCTCTCCGTTTATGGGTTACTCCATAGACCAACAGAACTTCTACCCCTCTCTGGGAAGGCAAACCAAAAACTTGACCATCGAAACTGGTCTAAAATGATGCCTAGGATTGTCTGTCGCTACTGCTGAGGGTTCAGACAAATGGCAAGCTTCTGCCTCTTGCTTCCCCAGCCTGACTAAAAATAGTGAGCCCAGGGACAGCCATCAGCACGGCCACCTCAAACCTACATATCGGTAGACAGCTGGAACCGCCAGGAGAACTGGAAATAACAAGCGGGTGTGACCACCCATCCTAAATCTGGCCCACCTCTGCCCTAGACAGTGGTCTCGCTTTTCCAGAGGCCGGTCTTCATGCAGCTTCCTGCTATGGCCTCTGCACCGGTTACACTGGCATCCTCATATTTGCCCCCCTTGGGGGCGCCATTAAGACTGGTGGTGTTGAGCGGGTATGAGCGGCGCTTGCTCTCCCTCTCCAGCCCGCTGCCGCTGCCGCTGCCCTTAAGGTTGTCACGGCTGGCGCAGCGTCGCTGCCCGGGGCGCCCCGTCTCTGTGATCTGTGCTACGCTAGTGTCACTGCCCTCCGACGGCGTGAGCATGGGCTCGCCCTCGAGTGGAAGGCCGTCTCCGGGACTATTGCGGCTGCTGCCCGGGTAGCTGTCGGAAGGGCTGTTGTGCAAGCTGCCGCTCTCACTGGACAGCAGCTCGGGAGCTCCTGGTGATGCACCCGCGCGCAGCGCCTTGAGCCGGCTCTTGCCGCTAGTCTCTCCCGCTCGGTGCCCCTTGGCCCGACTCTTGTGTACTCGGCGTCCGTGGTGCAGGTTGTTATGGTGTCGGGGAGCTAGGCTGCCACGGGAGCCCGTGGGTTCTGGCTCTCCATCCCCTCGGGCAGCCACGCCAACCTCGCACACCTGACTCTGGGCCACCTGCAGATTGGTGAGTTTGCAGGGAGGCGGCGGCGCGCGGCCACTGCTGCCACTTGGGGAGGACTTGAGGGAGGCTGGCCCGTCCCCCAACACTGGGGATCCATCCTCCGCAGCAGAAGGCAGAGCCCGGGGTGGGGCGTGGGAGGCTGGGGGTGAAGCAGGAGGACAGCAGGCACGCCAAGAAGCCCGGACATCCCTTCGCCTGGCACAGTGGTGTGTGAAGACAAAAAGACCCAGGGCTGAAGCTGCCACACCATAGAGACAGCTACACACCACTCCGGGCAGCCAGCTCTGTGACACCGCCAAAGCACCACAGGCCCACATAGCCAGGTACAGGAAATGTGTGGTCATCAGTGCCCCCAGCTGGACTCCCGGAGAATATACGCCATCACCATCCTCTGGGGGTGCAGGTGTCCCTACCCCAGCGCTAACTGTAGCCAAAAGGGAACCTGAGTCACTCAGGAGAACGCCACTGCTCCTGAGCCTGGTGGAACCCCTCAGGTCTTCCCCTGGCTCCAGAGAGAGCCTGCTGTTACCCTGCTTTGAATTCTGGGCCACATGACCCCTTAAGTGCAGGCCCGCACACAAGAAGTAGATCCAGGTGATGGGCAGAATCAACGCCACGGGTATGTAGAAGGCGCCAAGGCTTGGACGCCATACCAGCCAGCAACTAGGGGGAGACAGAGATAGTGGATGAGGAAGGTTTGGAGAAACCCGGTGCAGGGTCACAGGCTGGTGAGGTAGGATGTGGGAAGTAAAGAGGTGAGGCGGGACATGGCTTAGCATGCAGGGGGCTCTCTGGCTGGGTGGAACAGCAGGCATGGGGCTGGTGTGAAGGTTGGGGCTGGTGTGAAGGTTGGGACAGGCAGATGATGATGAGGCAGGAGGGAGTGTGCTCACTAGGGACTGTGGTCGCGGTAGTTGTGGATGTTGACCGCAGCGGTGATGCCACAGATAATGAGGGGGATCCCTCCAGCAATCAAATAGAACCTGGGGGGAGGGGTTGAAGGTCAGAGAGATGGAGCACTCCAGGCAAGAGAACTGGGTGCTTGGAACCCTCAAACTGATATCTCTGCCTTTCCCTCTGTCCCCTTAAAATCTGTGTGATTTGGGGAGATCACAGGATGCCCAGGAGGGCAGGGATGCAAGCTGCCCCCTAAAGGTAGGACAGCTTCTTCCAAACTTGGCCAAAAACTGTTCTACAGACAAGGCCAAAATTGTTCTCTCCAGCCCTAAGCAGTCTGAGTGTTGTCATGAAGGATGATTTTAGGATCACTACCCAATGCCCTCTGGTGTCATGTTCTTCCTTATCCCCTGCCTCTTGCCTTTGGAGAGTGATCTCTAGGGATCCTGTACTCACCCCCACCCATCCCAGCTTTGCTGTACCTGCCTTGGGTCTTGAGGCCCCTTCCCATAGCTGAGAACTGAAAGCACTTACCGGAGCATGGGGCGAGGACCAGGTGGAGCTGCATCCCCTTCTTCTGGAGGAGGCGCCCTCCAAGTGAGCTCCTTATGGAGGACTCTAGCCTTTACCCCCATCCAGAGAAGCGTGGACAAGGAAGAGTAGTGCAAAGTGATGCCCACCTACAAGGTCAAGGCACTGAGGCTTGGGACCTGAGCTGCTGACTGGGCTACACCCTGGAACGTCAATGGCCGTGTATGTTCCCACTATTCCCATGCTTCCAGCATCCCACCCAGGTACTCATTATATTGGTCCTCACTAATGTCCTCTCTACTTCCAACCAGGGCTCACTCTCTCACCCCAGGGAGTCTCCAGGACCCAGACACAGCAGTCTGGCTGATACATGACTTCTCCTCCACTGTGATCCCTACTCTCCACTTGAAGCCCCATCTCCAGCCATCTAGGAGCTAGGCTAACCATCCCTGTTACTCCACACATCACCCCTTCCCAACCCTACAAGGCTAGCACAGAGAATAGAGGAACTGGGGGCTATTTCCATAAACCTTCTCTTTCTTGTTATGCCCCTTCTTCCCCTGAAGTCACTCATTTTAGTGTCCCCATCCCCTTCTTACCGCTTGGCAAACCATCTGGTAGTTGGTGAGAGTGATGCCCCCCACAAAGACAGCCGAGGTCATGGCCATGTGGAAGCACAGGTTCAACAGCATGTGCCAACCCTTCCGGGACACATGGATGGAGCTGCCCCAGAAAGAGTCTTTTATTAATGGGCCATCCAACCCGCCACAGCACTGGTTCTTAACCTGTATGCCAAGACTCCTTTGGGGGATTGAATGACTTTCACAGGGGTCACCTATCAGATACCTGGCATATCAAATATCTTATATTCCGATTCATAACAGTTGTAGAATTACAGTTATGAAGTAGCAATGAAATACTTTTATGGTTGGGGGGCACCACAACATGAAGAACTGTATCAAAGAGTTGCAGCATTGGGAAGGTTGAGAACCACTACCCTATAGGGTCTCAAGACCACCGGGAGAGCCAAAAGGAGCAAGACAGACTATTTATGAGCAGATATATAAATGTGCTCCATGCAACGGGAAAGAAGTCCTTAATCTCCCTACCCCAACCCCCACAATGTGTTCTCCAGCCCCACTGAAGAAGCAGCATCTGCCAGCTGTGGTGAGACCTCCTCCTCCCTCCTTCCTGGAGCACTGCTCACCTGTGGTTGAGGATGTAGGTGATGATGGTGGA